CTCTATATATATATACATATATAGATATTAGTTAAATAACTTGTCAATCAACTTGCCGGAAAAGAGCATACAAGATGCGGTGCGCACCGATCGATACACTATAAACAACAACAACAACAACAACAACAACAACAAATGAAACAAAAATCATAAATAATACAAGAATATAAATTGTATCAATATATGTATTCATATAACTATATATATGCATATATATGTGTGTGTATATTTGAATAATTCTAGTTTAAGTTTAGTGTTTTTTTTTTTTTCATTATTGTTTTACTCCTATTTTTTTTTAGTTTCTGCATTTAGCATTATTATTTTTATTTGATTATGTAAATATAATTTGATTTGTTATTGCAGCGCATTTCGGGTTTTATTTGTGCTGTTGGGCTTGGATTTGGATATGGGTCTGGGTTTGGGTTTGGGCTTGGGCCTGTTGGCATGGGAATATCATTTACCATGGGTGGCGTGGAGGGTTTGGGGGGTTTGGGGGATTGGGGGGTCGCGCTTGTTGCCAAACTAACCCATCGATTTTTTCTCTCTTTCTCATTTCATTTGTGCGCTGCGCTGCGCTGCCGCATGGATGTTGGTTGATAAAAACAACAAAATGGATAACCACTTACCATATAAATTGGAGCCGCAAAATATGCCAACGATAAAAAAAAAAAAACACACACACACACACACAACAACAGAAAACAAAACAAAAATAACAACAGCTACAAAATAGAAGCAGCTTTTGTTGCGGGGGTGTGTCCGCAGCTCCCCCCGCCACCGTCAGCCGCCCCCAGCGTTCATGATGGAGGCGTGTGTTGTCCTTTATCCAATTGGTATGCGCTCTGGCTTGGTTTACCTAGTTATGGAGCTGGGAGGCATTTTTTTGTTGTTATTATTATTATTTTTCTTTTTTGCTTTTTGATTATTTTGTTGCAACATTTACATTTATACATTTATGTATTTGTATGGGTTTTACCTTGTTTCTTAACTGTTTGCCATAAATATCTATCTCTCCTGCTCTCCCTCTCTCTCCCTCGCTCACTCTCTTGGCATGCATAATTCTGCCCTACTTTGACTTTTACGATTTTCGTTTACTTAGCCCCCTCCCCCCAACAATGGCCTAGGAGATGCATTCCATATATACTAAATGTAATCAATGGCAACATTGACAACATCTCTTTAATTGGTTTATAATAGTTTACTTTGCCTCTTCCTKTTCCTTTGCTGCTGTTCTTTATTATTATTATTTCATTTCATTATTTTTTTTCAGATTCCTAATGGATTTATTGGTTGTTTTGACAGTTGTCTACGCTGACATCTAAATGGATCACTCTATTTATCCAAGCAACAGTTCGCACGCTCTCCCTCTCTCCCACTCTGGCTCCCTCTATCTGTCTCGCTCTTTGATAATTTGAGCTGTTGTGCAAACATTTGAAATTCCTTAAGCTCAAATATAGGAGTAGAAGAGCTCTTCTAGACGCAATTACATGATTTGTTTTACAATGTAACACTTTTCCCTCTTCTCATCTCTAACCCTGCGTATGTGTGTGTGTGTGTTATCTCTTGAGTTGCCGTTAGCTAAGTCCAACATCGTTACAGATTTTTCCACTTGAGGATTTGTTTTGAATTTCAATACAAAAAAAAGAATGACAACAACAACATGAAGAAGCAGCATCTTGTTGAGGCTTTAGGTAACCCAAAAGGGCGTGCACCCACACTAAAGAAGAAAAATCTCAAGTTGCATTATCTCAAGTTCCATTTGGAGTTGAGTGAGGCTGAAGGGGTTCGGGCTGTGGCTTCACCTAGCCGAGCCAGCTGCTCCAATCTGAATGGCGGATGGGGGCACTTGGCTGGCATTTGTTGGTCGGCTTGACGGGGGGCTGAATTGGACTGAATGGGGCGGGGCTGCGATGGGCTGTGCAATGCTATGCTGGCTGGCCACTTGGCTTTCAGCTTTCAGCTCTGCTCTACACTCGCCATTCTACTTGTTCTCAAGCACTTTTTATAAACCAAATTAAATTTATATGGGCCTCCGGCAGTCAACAACGCTCGCTCGCCTGCCAAAACTCATACAATACCCCATTCCCATTCCCATTCCCCATTCCCATTCCAATTTCCATTTCCATTCTCATTCCCATTTCAAATCCCATGCTATTTCATCTTTCTCTCTCTCTCTCTCTCTCTCTGTCTCTCTCTCTCTTTCGCTCGCTCTGTGGGCGCTGTCAACTGCCAATTAGCTGAGCATTTTTCAACATTTTAAATTGTCTTGCCGAGTGCGTGGCCCCAGCTCTGGGGCAACACTTGAGTGAGTCGTTTTATGCGACACAGCCTTCAGATTTTTACCCCTGCTTTCTTTCGC